CCCGCTTTAACTCATAACACTGGTTTATGTGTTACAAATTTAGTTTCTATTATTACATTTATTTCAGGCTTTTTAAAAATAATGTGAAAGAAAAACAAACGCATGTACATGTGCCACAATATCAAAACATATAGGTAAAACAAAAACTACTATATTAGAAATACAAGGCATAATCGGGTTACCACTGTTTATAATTCTCTGAAAATAAACGGTAAAGGTGACTTCTAAACCTAAACCTAAACGCAAAACTGTCAATATTACAGCGCACAATACAAATAAACAAACTACCAGCATGATATAATTTGATTTGATTTAATTTAAAGCGAGGTGGGGTGGGGGGTCGTCACCTGCGCACGCGCGGGAATTAGTCCCAAGCGACGATAAAAAACGCTAAAAACGCAAAGGCTGATGGGTAGACGCTTATTTGTAAAGAATGGCACGCTATGGCAATCTGACGCGTGGGCAGATTTGTTGGATTATAATATTTGTTCATAATTAAATTTTCAGACAAAATCTTGAAGATAAAAAATTCTTGCACGAACTTTTGAAAATATAACAATGACACTGGGTAAAGAATTACACTCAACAACTTCAACTGATATAAATTCTTGTAAAGCATAATCACGGTTCTAGGGTCAGAGACGGCGGCACGAAATGTTGCATGGGCCGAGATCTGCTCACCAACCTCGGAGCTTGAGGCATGCTCCCCTTTAAAAATGTTGAAATCTAGACTTTTGAAGGACAAATTTTGCTGACACAAAGGGTTTCAGTTAGATTTTGGACTGAAGGGCGACGCCCTAACATTTTTTCGTGGGGCGATTCAACAGTTGTGTCTGTATTATTAGTTTGTTTCTGTCGCTAGTCAGGAGCCAATATGGAATATTTTCCCCAAATTTGGTCACCGCATCCGATCTATCTGGTCAAGAAAATGTATGCTAAATAAATAATAAATAAATAATAAATAAATAATAAATAAATAATAAATAAATAAATAATAAATAAAAAAATAAATAAATAATAAATAAATCGACGTAAAAACATGATATAACAAAGGCCATAGTGACGTCGAATAATCGCGTGAAATTCGCTATAAGCGAACCTATTTATTAGTATGGCGCTCAATAATGTCCTATGCACATTTTACAATTATAAATTTTAGTGATGCAAGAGTATCTCAAAGACGTTCGATCCGCATTTTTCATGCATTACGCGAGATCTCGCAGTGAACGAAAAACATTGGAGAAGTAACAACAAGAAGCGGTTGCAACGAACATCTGAGAAAAATATTGTCTCCCAAGGGTTCTAATCTCGAACAGTCAGTTCCATTTGCAGAGATAAACTTTAATATTAGTAAAAGCAGCTAGGACCAATACATATAATACATTATATAGAGATGGAAACCAGGATAGCCATATCACTTGATAATATCCAGGGGGGGTGTCGCATGACGTGATTGGTCTTTTTCCGACGTCATTAACATACATGAATAATTCATCAGGTAAAAAAAAAACACGAATTTCGGCATTTAAAGTTGTTAATACTGGCAAAAACGTGTTCTGTTTTATTTTAAATGCTCAATAAATGTTGCAAATGTAAAAAATATGATAATATCTATATATTTACCGTACAGTAGTCATGATCATAGATTAAAATGTCAAAACATGTGTTGTTAAAGATTACATGCAATTACAATTGAGTCTGAATGCATGCATAATAAACTCTTGATAACACGGATTACAAAGCATATGTGCATTCACCCGTGCCCTGCATATGGTTACCACACGCACCGTCCACATCCCCGCACCTTTAGTATGGTTGGCCAATATGATTTTTTTTAATCAAGTAAATAAATTTATTGTTGCAAATGTTACGGTTATTCATGACGAAAT